GCAATCAAGCACAATGTTAGGTGGTCCTGGAATGTCGTTTTGGTTACTTGGCACGTCATCAGCAAGAAGGATGGATTATGTTACATGGATGCCGCTGAGGATGATGGTGGTTTGGATGACATGGATGAAAGGGCTTATATCTTTGATGGAAGGCTGTTTGTCGCATGGATGTTATTGGGATACTCAAGTCAAGGCACGCACAGGAACTAGTTTGCAACCATGGATGAAGATGTTTATGGCGGCAGCATCAAGGATACAATGACCAATGATACCCACAGTATCTATATGATCCACTTGGCTGGTTCCTGGAATGGAAGGAGGATAGAAATTTGAAGGTTGGGAAGCGAGATTGGATCAGCTACATCAATGTATCCAGAGGTGTCACATTACATTCGTTAAAGCTTCCCTGTTCATATGCTGGTAGACGATAGGCAGTACAAACTCTCAGGATTGTACACGAGTTTAAATAGACGCTTGTGTTTTCAAAGATAATAAACCCATTAGCATTGTTGAATCATTTCTTATAAGCCCGATAACTATCCAGCCTATTCATCTCATTTAAAAGCAAGAAGAGATGCTAGCTAAATATAAGTGGATGATAAACAATGCGTGTTTCTAGCTACTAGTTTTCTGCCATTGTTGTTATCGTCTTCATCATCCATAATCATCTCGCCAGCATTCTCGCGATAGTCGTCGTCATCGTCTCTACATATAATAAAAGACAACATTTAGCGAATCTGGCATGGTTGCCATGAATACCATCCACATTGTATTTGTTTTAATGAGATCAGAAAATATGAGATGCTGCAAAGAGCGTCTGAGTTTTGTCGATGCACTCTTATTATGCAGCGTACCACAGCGGCCTGTCAATGAAGAATAATACAGCACAACACGTTGGATCTAATCATGACAGGTTGGGTTGTTGAGATGAGTAGTGAAATAGTGCAGGTGGTGTTCATCTTCAATAGCAACAGTTAAAGATGGCCAAAAAGCACATGACCTCGGGATTCAACGTTTTTTAAACGCCGTTTGAAAGCAATATAAAAACGAGCAGCAGACGCCGTAGCATTCTTTTTTCCTTCTTTTTCTTTAGTGCCAGGCAACCTGGATTGGATTGGCACCCACCGCTTTTTACTCTGAGTAGTAACTACTGCTGGGGCAGAGTGTATCTTGCTGGAAAACCCACCTGGTTGTATAGTGCCCCCCGCTTGCAATCACCTCGTTTGACACACGTGAAGGTGCCCTCGTGTGGAGAGGGGAGATGGATGTGCTTCAAGACAAGTTTATTATGGCGACGAAATGAGCACGTGCTGATATCAGCTATTGCCCTCGCCCGATCCAGAGTGCTAGTGTGCTAAAAAACCTGCTGTGCAACAGGAAAAAGGTGGTGGATAAAGATGTATGATGTGGGGGTTACTATGTTAAGGTATGTGGGGATCAACAAGTTTCAATCGTGGATGGGGTGTTTACAAAGGTTCTGTGGGGCTAGGCTATCCTAAATGGAGGATGTGGAGGAAAAGAGCTACATAGGAGGAGTGGAAGAAAGGAAAAGAGAGAAAACAAAAAGCAAAGAAGAGAAGGAAAATGGGTTCTACGAGGTAGCAGGTGTTTGGGATCCATGATGATCTCCTGTTGATGTATCCTTTTCGAGCCATTGGATGAGGGATTGGCCGTGTGATTGTTGTGTGTTGTCGTGTTGTTGGATGGTATTGTGTTGTATGTTGTCCATTTGTTGTAATAGCGTACAAAGTAGTGGCCATTGTTTTATCCAGTATTGGCATCTCTCCGATGATTTGGGCTTTGATGTCGGGAGTTGATTGAGTAGCCATGATATGGGATCTTTGATGTTGGATGGCACTGCCAATTGTTGGTGCACTTGTAGGCATTGGGTAAGGTGTGCTCTGGTTGTTCTGTTGTTGGTGTTGCAGTATGGGCATCCAGTGGGTTTACCTCCTGGTAACCAGCCAAGTCTCCATCTCACGCATCGGCTACGTTCCATTTTTGACATGGGTATCCACATAATAGGATCAACTCCCAAGTTTGGACGACATGCTGTAAGCAATATGGATCTTCGTCGTGATCGGTACACTGAGAGTCTTTGTGTTAGGAATTGGCGAAGAGTTTGCTTGAGTTGCTTGCGATCGGTATTCGCTGCTGGTTTTGGCAAAAGGTCTTTCCATATGGTGTTGGTACTAAGGAGACTACGCCATGAGCCCGTTCGTGTTTTACGATTCCTTATGATAGGTTGTAGGTTGTGCAGGAGGCTGTCATCAGGTAGGTTGTGAGCTCTGATTAGGAATTTAGCTTGTAGTATTGTAATACGATCCTCCATGCGTGGTAGATTTGCCAAGTGGCACATGACTTGTGTACTTGCAGATGCACTACCGCCATAGATCATGCGGAGGCAATTGGATTGGGCTTGTTCAAGTACTGTAGATAGCTTCCTTGGTATTGTGTGTATGGCAAGACCATATTCCATCTTTGGTCTGATGAATTGGCGGTATAGTCGACATGCTAAGAGCCGGCTAAATCCACTAGGGCGTAAACCAATTGCATGTAGAATACGCATGGAGCTCAAGGCTGCTTGTGTGCGTGTATGTATCAGTAGAGATGTGTCAATGGTGCCATTTTTCTTAAAGGGGACACCAAGGTATGAGAAGGTTTCATCACGTGGAATAGGTGTGCCATATAGTTGAAGCTCAGCTTGATCCGGTGGTGGCTCTGTTTCTGATAGTACAACACACTTTGATGGGTTCCATCGATAGCCGAGAGTGGTGCTGTGTTGTTCACAGGTGGCTAATAGTTTCGGAATCGATTCCCATGTACCAAGGATGACAACATCATCGGCATATAGTAAGCTGTTGATTTTTTGGCCGTCAATCGAGACATGGGCAGGAGGGTCAGCTGATGGATTTCCATTGTCTGCTACTCGTAATAGTGTGGGGAGGGAATTGATGTAGTGTGAATATAAAAGAGGGGAAAGCACAGATCCTTGTAGCACACCAGTACTTGGTTGGAAACGATGCGATGTGTGGTTGCTGATCAACACTTCTATAAAGACATCATCAAACATGTTTTTGAGTAGTGCTAAGAATGTTGGTGGAATAAAAGATGAAAGAGCTTGCCAGATTATTCTTCTGTCTACCGTATCGTAGGCGGATTTTATGTCAAGAAAGACAAGTACAGGTGGTGAGCCATTTTGCTTGCGGTGTAGGAGATTGATTTCATGGAGGCATCGGGCTTGGTCAAGTGCACTTCGTTGTGTGCGGAATCCTCCTTGGACGATGTCTAGTGGTGGGCCCATAGTAGTGAGATCTGGGAGTAGGCATCTTTCCAATAATTTCCTGAATACTGATGTTAGGCTTATTGGGCGGAAGTTTGCTGGGTCATCGGGAGATCCTTTCTTGTGTATTGGTACGACTTGAGCGATTCGCCAATAGCTAGGGACTTGTGCATTTCGCCAGCATAAAGTAAAGAGCGCCAATAGGATTGGTGTGAGTGAGTGTGTGATGGGCTTGAGCATTTCACTCTTAATATGATCCACTCCTGGGGCTTTGTTGGTGGGCAGTATTTTGATAGCTCGTTCGATCTGGTCTTGGGTGAAAGGGCTATCATCAAAGCTATTGGGGCTATCATTGTGGTTAATGGAAACATGGGTTAGTGGTAGCACGTGTTCTAAATCTGGGGTATGTGTATGCATATGCATGCCACTATAGACCGATTGTAGATGGTTGGCCATTCGCTTTGCTGCTGCTTCTGGGCCTGCAGGATCAGCAAAAGTAGGAGAAAGTGTGCGATTACGTTTAATTTTGCTGATAATGGCTAAGGCTTTGGTGAATTCACCATTGGCCACGTTGTTGCAGAATTGTTGCCAAGTATGTCTTCGTCGTGTGTTGACTGTGAGTCGCACTTTTGCTCTTGCTTCTTGATGTTTGATCCACCAAGTGACCTTGTTCATGCCTTTGGCCTTGCGCCATTTGCGGTAGCAGTGTTCACGGTGTGCCATTGCTTTATGAATTTCCTCTGTCCAAAACCATTTTGTTCGAGACTTGGGGGTGCTAGATGGCTTGGCACCAATAGTTGTATCGAGAGCATCGTATATTGCTTGGTTGAGGGATGTTGCTAGGCTTTCTATTGATGGGTTAGTTTGGCTATCGGAGATGGCATTAGTAAGTATATGCGTTAGCTCTCGCGTGTTGTTTTCAAATTGGTCAATGTATTGTTGTCGAGGTTGTGATTCAGATAAGCGGTGTAGGTGCCCTTGTCGACGTGGGGTTGGGGTTGTGAGTGGTGGTGGATTAGATGGCATGTCGAATTGGAGGTGCGTGATTTTGTGATTCGAGTCAAGTGATAATTGATCTTGTATTACCATTGCTGGGTTAAGGAGTCGGTGAGTGCTAAGGAAAAGGTCGATGATGCTAGTGCCATTGTGACAAATGAACGTAGGTTGGCCTTTTGCTAGGTCAGCGTTCCAGATGTAGAGGCCATGTGAGTCAAGCCATGATCGGAAGCGATAGCCTCTCACTGTTGTAGCATTATCGCCTACTATAGGCCCTAGCCGTGCATTGAAATCTCCGCATATGATTGTGTTTGTGGTGTTAGTATAGGTGAGGGGAAGTGAGTTGAGGATGTCTATAGCTTGGTCATCAGGGAGGGAGGGAGGTAGGTATACGCAGTGTATGAGATAGTCACCAAGGGTACAGGAGATAGTGTAGGATTGGTATTGGGTATTTGGGATGGTGATTCTGGTAACGGGATATGGGTTGGTAGGGTTGACAAGTAGGGCAAGTCCCATTTGACCCCTGATTTTGCTGCCGTTAATGGGGATTGCATGTGTGTGATATTGGGTCCAGTGTGTAGGGTATTGGTGTGGAGGTAGTAGCCATGTTTCTGTTATGAAGGTAAGGTTAGTGGTTTCTATATGGGTTAGTATGTAATCAATTGTGATTCTTGGAAGGCCAGTGGCATTCCAAAGAGCGATATTGACAGTTGGTGTGCCTTCATAAACGAGGCGACCCCTCATGTATATCGGAGTCGTTGTTTTCTGTGGGTTCATTTTCAGTCATTGCCGTATCGGTGTCATTGGGATTGGGGGTAGCTGGTGTTGTTGGTTGTTGGGTATCGTGTTGGTTGGTGTGGGCGGGTTGTTGGAAGTTTGCTGCAGCTTGGGATTGTTGGGAGGCTGTAGGTGGTGGGGTGTCTTTTTTGCCAAGGATCTCGTTGAGTTTGTCTTCAGTGATGAGCTCTTGGCGATAAAAGCTTCGGGCAACTGCATAGCGTACTGGTATGCGGATGATGGTGAGTGCTTTTCGGAGGCGTTGCTTATAGAGATTGGTGGCAATGGTTTGGCGTTGGGCGTTATCAAGGTCCTTGTATTTAGGATCTCGAAGGCGTGTTGGGTCATCAGGGCTGAATTTGTCCATTGGGTAGATGCCTTGTTCAGCCATAAGCTGTTTAAGCTCTGCTACATAATCATTGTGTGTTAGGACTGCTAATACCTGATAATCAGGATAGTGGATGTCGAGGACACGGCCATTATCAATGCCGAGTTTTCTAAAACGGGCTCTCACGGCGTTGGTGCGTATGCGAGATTGGGAGTAGAAGTAAGTGTATTGAAATCCATGGGTTGATGATAGGGGTTGAAAGGCCCTAGCTGCAGCTTGTTTACGGCGTTGGATTGTTGCTTCGGTAGGTTGATGTCGACGTCGTAGCTGGTTGACTCGGTCTGGTTGGTGCCATGGGTTGGTGGATTTAGTGGTATGTTGGCTATTGGTAGGTTGGCTAGGTTGGCTGTATGTGGGAGCATGGATCGATGCTGATGTTCCTGGTGATTGTGAGTGTTCGAGTTGTGCACGGAGGCGGTTGTTATCTCGTTCTAATTCTGTCACACGGGAGTTAGCCTTATTTAGGTCAATGGTTACCTGTGTCAAGCGATCGGTGATGGTTTTGAGTTCACGGAGTAAGTTGTCCTGTTGTTGCACTTGGGAGCGGAGTGAATTTAATTCTGTCATAATGCTGCTGACAGTGGCTGGTAGATCTTCCTGTTGGTTGGGCAACAATGGTGGCCGTGAATTCAAATGCTGAGCCTCTGCTTGTTCTGCTGCTTCCATTTCATCAGCCCAATTGCCGGAAGGTGAGTCGAAAAGGTATTCTTCAGTGTCGATAGTGGTGTTCTCTTCAGGAGCTGGTTGAGTTGCAGGGGCAGATGCGGGGTTGTTCTCCAAGGATGGCGCTGTGTCGGTTTGGTTGGAGTGGTTTTTGATTGCTTCAAGTACTTTGTCATGATTTGGTTGCTTTTGGCATTTACGACATGCGAAACGAGGATGGCGGTATGTATCACGGGAATATCCGTTGTGTGAGAGAGTAGCTTTGTTGTTGCATTCGGGGCATAAGAGCTCGGTGCGGAGTCTGTCGAAGTTGGTTATGAGATGATGTTTCTCATTGTCGTTGAGACGAGTGAGCTTTCTGGTAACTGGGCCCATGATCTCGCGATAAACGCGGTGGCTAGGTCGAGTGATTTGGTGTTTGGTTGTTTGTGTTGTTAAGCGAGTGATTATATGAGGTTGTAATCCACACTATGCAGGTGTGGAGTATCGGGAAGAGATGAGATGGATGTGCGGCGACCTTCACGTTGGTCATCTCCGTAAGTACTTGGGTCTTTTGGCTCAAGGAAACTAACAGCCGCACGCTAGCTAGCTTGTCTTTCTTCATTATCAATAAAAGAGCTTGTTTTATAATAACTTTGTCTACTTTGTCTTTGTTCATCAAATAAAAAGAGTGTTCTTTAATAACTTGTATAATAACTTCTTATGTGTATAAGTCGCGGGTTGGTAAAAGTGTCTATGAAGCTCGTCGTGTTGGACGATTGGGAGCTTGATCGAGAGCTAATGGACAGTGGTTGATCAGTGGAACGCCTTTGAAATGGGCTGCCGTGTTGGTGCTCCTCGAAGGTGGATCCTGAAAAGAGGTGTAAGCCAAAGGAGATAATAGCTTTTCAAGATCTAGACGTTCAACTTAGCAATAAAAGAGTGTAATGTTGAGACATACTAGCTGTGTTGCCATGGCAATAGAGTCGCG